GAGCCGCTCTCTGTAAGTGTTCGCTTGTGCAAAAGGGAATCGCGCCGTGGAGCCGTGTGTCCGTGGCTGCCGTAGTGCGGGGCTGCCTGCCCCTCCCTCCCGGGGAGCAAGGCCACCAACCAAAGTCAGTCCCTTCCCACCTGTATTTCTGTTTTGTTTTTCTATATATATATTTTTTGTTGGATTTTATTTTATTTTTAACTCTTTCCTCCTCCAGACACAATGGCACTGCTTATCTCCGAGGTGGTATGGCCGTGCCTCGGGGCGGCCCCGCGATGGGTAGTGTGTGACCGTGGGCGTGTTGTATAGTGAACATAGTTGGCATATATTTGTTCGAAGTTTGTTGGTGACTCCACCAAACTTGGTGTAAAAAAAAATTCCACAAAAAAAAACAAAACAAAACACAAAAACACTGCTTATATTTTACTCAGTTTCAAAACTTTTTATTAGTCTGTTTTTTAATTATTAAACAAAACTACGTTTTCTTTTACTTTTGGGGGGGCTGTTCTTGTTTTGTTTTTCCTTCTTTGGTGGCTTCTTTTGTTTTTTTTAAGTCAAATTTGTTTGCGTTGTTTTGTTTTGTTTTGTTTTGACTGGGAAAGGCAGGGTGGGGGGTTGAGGCAGGCATTGGGGCTGGAGCCACAGGCTGAACCCTTGCCCACCTGGGTGGCTTTCACCCCCCTCCCCCCCCCTTTTAAGATTTTATTTACACTCGGAGCCCTCAGTGAATTTTGCGTGCCATGAGAACCCACTCTACACCACGACGCTGGGGCCTCAGTGTTGGCCAAATCCTGGAGTCCCTGACTGGTCTGACTTTAATACGGTGAATATGCATCTGGCCTGTACTGATCATGGAATAAACACATCTCTCTTTTTTTAATGCTGGTGCCTCCTGGACATTTCTTTGTGGACCACCTGTTAGGCTGGGCCCCAGGCCCCAAACCACCAAGGCCCCTGGCATCTCCAGCAGGAGCCGCTCTGGGGTGAAGAGCAGCCACCTCACTCCAGCAAATCTGTGACAGGAACCCAGGGGCCCAGGACTCTGAGAAGACCAAACCTCAGACAGTATTCTCCCTCCCCACTTCCATCATGGCCCCCCAGGGGTATACGTCACATAGCCTGCTCACCTCCCCCTGACGACTCCTTTTCATGTAAGCTCAGGGTTAACCCGATAACTCTTGCATGCCCCCCATCCAAAACAGGATCCACTGTGTCATCGTTGTTGTCGTCTGTCTCCCCCCCCCACTCCCCCCTACACACCCCCACTGATCTGGAGAACCACGAGGGTGTCAGATACCATTACAGACCTTTGTCAGGACACACCGCAGCCTAGGGGGTGTTTCTAGCACTATCCCGACAGCGCACCAAGGCCTCTGCGCCAAAGCCCCTACATCCTCACGGTTCCTGCCTCTCACCCTCCCTGTGCTGGTTCAAGTAGTATGACAGTCTGTCTTTGGGGTTCTAGCTCACCTCAGCCCACCTTTACACCACCTTGTTTTGTTTAGAAATCTCCTCTGGCTGGGTCCCAATTGTTGGCTGGAGAAATGGTTTTGTCTTTTCCTTCCCTTAAGAGGCTTTCCTCAACCTCAGCCCTCTCCACAACCACTGGTGGGAATGTCCCCAACTAGGTTGTAATTAAAACTAGGACCTGCTGCTTAATTTCCCTGAGTGTTGCCCAGGTCCCATTCAGAGCAGTAGAAACCGTAGTCCTGTACAGCAGAGAACAAGGCATGTACAAGCTCCCACCGTACTGACTGCACAGCTCTCTCGGCCAATAATTATGTCCGTGAATCTGAGATGTGTCTTAAACACGTTAGACATTTGTAGAAGGGGACTCAGACTTATATACTAAACGTTCTTTTTTTTTCCTTTTTTTGGTGCCGTTCTCATTGCAAAAATAAATATTTGTATTGAATATAAAGTTACTTATTTGTGGCCTTTGCTGTCTCTGTGAAGGTCTTCAGAGGTGGAGCCAGGGCTGTGTGGGAGAACAAGATGGAGGGGCTTCCAGACACTCACCAGCCATCCATGTTTCGAAGCCACGGGAGGGATCCCGGGATATGAAGTGGGCGGGATACCCAAGAGAAAGCAGGGGCAGAGAAATGTGTGTACTGTGCCCACTGCAGACCAGTCACAAAATGCACCATGTGGAAACCTGGGGGGGTGGGGAGGTGCAATCCAAGGGAAAGGAAAGCTTAGCCTCAGCCTTGATCTCCGCCCAACCACAGGCGAACCTTGAGAACCTCCTACCAAGTGAAACAATCAAAGCCCTAACACTGCCAGGGAGCCATGCCGCCTTGGAAACTGCTGTGAGTTTCCAAGGCTGGAACTCTGGAGTCGGCTTTCAAACCGCTGACCTTGCAGTCTGGCAGCCAGCGTGGAACCACGAGGGCACCGAGGCTGCTGGATCAAACAGGCCGGATACAAAAGGACAGGTGGTGCACTAGAGACCAAGCAAGCTCACTGAGGGCTAGAGGGAGGGGCCATTGGGTTTCTAGTAACTAATGGAATTTGGGAAGGGTTAGTGGTGGCAGAGTTGTGCCACATGAGAAATACCAATGGTAAAAACTGCCCAGTTGGTAAATGTTACCCACGTGGGGCTACCCCCCAAACCCAGATTGCTCTGGGCGGAGCAGAGCTTTTGCAGTATGCATGCTCACCCCCCACCCCACCCCCAGTTGAGCATTCAACTGGCTCTGAGTTGGTGCACTCACTGGTTTTGCCACCCACAACAGTACACCCATCATGCGGGCCATCTCAGTGCACCCGTTTTTTGACAACAGCATGGCTCTCGCTCCATGCCTACCAAACGACTTTTGGTTTCCATGAATGAAGGTGGACGTGAAAGGACTGTGATTTGACGAAGTAGAAAAGGTGAAAAAAACGCGGGAAGTACGGTCAATCAGACATCCAGACGGGTGCTTGAAAACTGTTTCCAAGGGTGGAATCTCAAATTTGACAAGTGTATTCCGTGTAATGGAGAGTATTTTGAAAGTGCTCAGGTTGCTCTGTAAAAATTTAACACATAGCTTTGAAAAAGTTCCTGGTTTTTTTGGGTGGGGATACTACCCCCCTTGAATTGTACCTTGATCGCAAGGGGAGAAAAGTTGAGGCTGGCTGCTCACCCAAAGATCGATGACCTCAGAAACCCTATGTTGAGTCATGAGTCAGAACCAAGTGATGGTGGGTTAGGTCACCACCCAGGGCCCTCCGTGGTGCAGTAAGTCAAGGAAAGGGTTGCTGGTCTAAGGTCAGGGCTTAAGTTCAGGAGCTGCACTGGAGGGAGTAAGATTCGGCAGTCTGCTTCTGCAAATGTTGACAGCTTTGGAAGCCCCAAGGAGCAGTCCTACTGTGCCCTATAGGGCCACTGAGTCAGAACTGACGGACGGACGGACGGATCACCACCAGAAGACCGCTAAAAGCTTCAAAGTGGTTGCCGGGGCAGCGAGGAGAGGTGGGCAAATGAAACTGCAAATTGTTTATCCAGCTGAACTCTCCCAGTGTTTGTGCAAATAACTTAATTGCCAGTCCTGCTCTTCATAGGGTTGACGTGCGGGTTAAATGGTAGGTGTCTCCAAAAGGCACACATGTGTCACTCCTTAATTAACCCAAGGACCTTTAGGAATGGTTGCAACAGAGAAACCCTGGACTCCAGGTCCCAACTGTAAGGGTACCTGCCCACCTCCCCCCACCCCCCACGTTCCTCCGCCCACCCAGGTACTTCCCACGCCATGGGCACCACCCTGCTCTCAGCACCTGCCGATTGGCTCCAGGGTCGGGATCTGCGGCCAGCGCTTCAATTTTACGCCACTGTCCAATCACAGCTGCGGTGGTGGTGGTGGGAGGGCCATAGGACTAAGCAGGCCAATCAGCAGGGCGCGGGACCGAGGCGGTTGGAGTCCCTGTTGCAATCGCGGCCTGTAAAGGTGCTGCGGAGCTTTTGCAGCCGGAACAAAGGGAAGGGCCGCGCGCGCTGCTCCGACGGAGCGAGGTCCGAGCTTCCCGCTCGCCCGCCCTCCTGGCCTCAGCGAGGGCTCTACACGTCCCTGTCCTTCCGTTTCCGGGGGCCGCCATGCCACCACTTGAAGCGCTGTGTGCAGGCGCGTCCCGCCACTCCCGCAACCCACCTTTGTAGACCTTGGCGCCGCCCTCTGCTCAGGTTCTCGGTTCACCCAGGGCCCCCGTGTGCCCCGACCGGGAATCTCAGTCTGATCTTCGGGCGGCTAGCCGTTCAGGCTCGCCGCTTGGGCTCCGCTCCTTGCACACGGGCCGCCCGGCCCGCCTTTCCGGGCGCCACCCCATCTCTCTAGGGTCCGCCCACTGGTTCCCATCCACTGATCTGGGAACCCCACCTGAGTCTGGCCCTCCTTTCTCGGCCCCGCCCCCTGTTCTCCCGCCTAGGCCCCTCCGCAGACCGGGCAACCCAGTTCCTGAGACCCTCCCCTGTCCCGCAGTTCCCGCCCCCGGCCCGCGAGCCCCACTCCTAGAGAGCATCTCGCCCAGGTGTGCACCTAGCACTTAACGTGATTCCCGTGAGCCGGCCGTGTCGATCTCAGTGACACCCTGGTCCCCCGGCGTGTCTCACAAGTCCAGCAGCACGGAGGGGCTCCAGAGCAAGGGTGGGGGGCTTCTCAGCCCGGACTCTGCCTCGCTGTCCGCCCACCCGAGTCCCGACAGCGACGCGACGGTGGTCCCCGCGGACGGCGGCGACATGCCCGAGCCGGTGGTGACTGCGCTCCTGGCGCCCTCGCGCCTCTCGCTGAAACTGCTGCGCGCTTTGATGTGGAGCCTGGTGTACCTGGGGGCTCTGATGGCCGCGGCCGTGTACAGCTGCATAGCGCTGACCCACGTGCTGTGCCGGCCCCGGCGCGGCTGCCTCGGGCGCCCCCGGTGCGCTGTCCCCGCCTGCCTGAGTGACCCCTCTCTGGGCGAGCATGACTTCCTGACCCTCAAGGTGAGTGCGCCGGAGGAGACTAGACACCCGGGCTGCGGGCTGCGGGCTGCGGGCGGGCCCCAGTTCACCGAGCGTTCTCTCACAGAGTTCCGGCCTACGTCTGCACTATGTCTCCGCGGGTCGTGGGAACGGGCCCCTCATGCTGTTTCTGCACGGCTTCCCCGAAAACTGGTACTTCTGGGGTCAGGGTGGGGCAGGGCAGGGGAGGGGACAGGGAGATAGAGACCAAGAGCAAGGAGGACTCCTTTGGGACAGTGCACAGGGTGCAGAGGGTCCAGAAGTCTCTCCGGGGTGGGACACAGCAATCTATGGTGAAGCCACACAACACTGGGGGTGCAGCCAACCTGATCTAGGGTTCCCTTTCCTCCTGGGAAGTCCAGCTCTGGAATGTGGATTTGCCAACGTTCCCTACTGAGTTTGCCAACGTTCCCTGCTGGGTGGAGGCCCTCTGGGCTCTGACTCAACTTCTCTCCCTGCCCTTTTGCGCTACTGACAGGTTCTCCTGGCAATACCAGCTCCGGGAGTTCCAGAACCGCTTCCATGTTGTGGCTGTGGACCTGCGTGGCTACTGGCCCTCAGATGCCCCTCGAAACGTAGACTGCTACACCATCGACCTGCTGATGACGGATGTCCAAGATGTCATCACGGGCCTGGGTGCGTGACAGCAGGCCCCTAGACAGGGCCCCAGTTTTGCACGTACCCCACCCCTGCTCCTTCATGCCCCTGCCCCCAGCTCTACCAGGGCCCCAATTAAACCAGCTGTTCTTGGTCCCTAGGTTACTCCAAGTGCATCCTGGTGGGCCACGACTGGGGCGGGCTTCTGGCCTGGAATTTCTCCATCTACTACCCAGCCCTGGTGGAACGGCTGGTGGTGGCCTGTGCTGCCCCGATGTCCGTGTACCAAGGTGCGTGCCGAATTCAGGTAGCCGAAAGTGTGCACAGGTGTGCGTGTGTGCTGCTCCACCCACCAATTAGTGCTCACACCTTGAAGGGTGGCGGCCCCTCTCCCATGGTGCTCCCAGGCTGTAATCAGTGGCTGGCTCATGAATATCACATACCCACACAGTTTGAGGGCTTCAGGTAACCATGGCTCTGACACGGGCCCTGCATGCCTTAACCTACGAATGCCTCCTGCCCTGATGTCAAGGAACTCAGGCACAAGGAATTAGACCAGCGCTGTAGCTAAGTAAGCACTCCTGTAGCAGGAGACCTTGTCTCTGGCTACCCAAGGCCCAGCCCACCCCCCTGGTTTTCCTCCTCCTCCTTCTCCTCTTTCTCTCTCAACCAATCTCTGTCTCTCTCTCCCTTTCTCAGTGAGATTTTCCCTCTGTCTCCCTCCTCCTTTCCCTCCTTCCCTGAAGCCCATCACTGTCTCTGTTTCTTCACATTTCTAGTCTCTCTGCCCCTCTGGACTCCAACTGTTGAGGATGGGGAGTTTTGTTTGTCTTCGGCCCTGCTTATACCCCTGTCTATAACAGGGCCTGGCATACAGGAAGCACTCAGTAAATGTTTATGACTCCCCAAACCAAACTCACTGCCCTCAAATCAATACGACTCATAGCCACCCCCATAGGACAGGGTCCAACGACCCTGTGCGTCTCTGAGACTGGAACTCCTTACGGGAGTTGAAAGTCCTTTCCCCCAAGGAGCTGCTGGTGCTTTTGAACTGCCCACCTTGTCAGTTGCAGCCCAACGCCTAACCACTGCATCACCAGGGAAAACGCCTCTTTCCGGGGGCCTGCGAGCTGTCTCTGTCACAGAGTGAGGCCTAATATCCTGCGGCATGTGTATCCCTGTGGGTTGAGACAGTAGCTAGACTCCGGGGTGCGTGTGTGTGTGTGTGTGTGTGTGTGTGTGTGTGTGTGTGTGTGTGAAATGCAGGGTGGGGGGCCTCACGTCTGCCTCCCCCAACCCTGCCCAGACTATGCCCTTCACCACATCGGCCAGCTCTTCCGTTCCAACTACATGTTCCTGTTCCAGCTTCCCTGGCTGCCCGAGAAGCTGCTCTCCATGTCTGACTTCCAGGTGCCGAGGGGAGCGGGCCTGGGGGGCGGCCAGGGTGCTTGTCTGGGCCTGCGTGGGGAGGGCACTGAGCCAGGCTTGCTATGTGCCCAGATCCTGAAGGACGTCTTCACCAACCGCAAGTCGGGCATCCCACAGCTGAGCCCCTGTAAACTGGAGGCCTTCATCTATCACCTTACCCAGCCAGGCGGCCTCACGGGACCCATGAATTACTACCGGAACCTCTTCAGGTGAGCTCGGCCCTGGCCAGGCCCTAAGGAGATTTGAGAGCTGACAGTGGAGTGGGGTGGGGAAGACAGCCACCTTCTGCCTGTCTCTCTGTTTTGGTCACAGGAATGTCCCCCTGGAACCTCAGGAGTTGTCCGCACGCACACTGCTGCTGTGGGGGGAGAAAGACAGCTACTTGGAGGCTGGGCTGGTTAACGCCATCAGTAAGCGCTTCGTTCCAGGCCGGCTGGAGGCCCACATCCTGCCCACCAGTGGGCACTGGATCCCCCAGAAGCACTACGAGGAGATGCACCGGTACATGTGGGCCTTCCTACAAGACCTGCTGGCCTAGAGGCCCCAGCTTGCCCGACACAGCAGGTGGGCACACAGGAGCACACACCTACAGCGTGCCTCTGCACATGTGCCCAGCAGTACATGCAGGGGCTTGTGTACATGTAGGGACACACACCCACTGTCTGTGTGCACCAGGGCATCCACACAACATGCGTGAACATGGACACTCAGGGAGCTACACCTGCTGTGTGCTTATGTGCGCCGACGAGTGCGGGCCCACAGTGTACACGCGTGCAGACACTCGGGAACGCACAGCTGGGGGTCCCTACACCCTGTGTGCCAGTGTGGACTCCTGAGCTGCACACCAAGGCATCTGTGCTCACTCCAGCCAGCCGACCGAGAGGCAAATGTGCGTGAGCTCAGGACACTTCTCCACCGAGACCCAGGATCCTACTTCTCCCTCCTCAGACACGCCCCTCCTTTCTCCTTGCCAAAGTTGCCCCTATGACTGTACAAACTCTGAAGGTGGGCCTTCCTGTTCCTGGCTTCCATCTCCAGTAGTCAAATCAGCTGCTTCCATGGAAATGACAATCCCATGAAAGCTCACTTCTGCAGACCCACCAGCCATATCATCAGCCCGGAAAGTTCCAGCGAACGGCACAGCAGATGGAATTCCTGGCTCTTCCGGCCAGCGGTGGCCAACCTGCACTCCCTACCCCTCCCGGCTCCTGATGAGTTCATCCAGGGCAGCCCCTTGAGGGTAGGCAGACATGCCCGGACCCCTCTCTCACCACCACCGGCCACCTCCTGTCCTCTTCTCCACATTAGCTGACTTGCTTTTCTGGGGAGGCCTCCAGCTGCAGCCTCCAAAGAAATGCAGGTGAGGGGGGTCCAAGTGGAGGCGGAGCCCCAGGCCTCCCCCAGTACTCCGACTGCTAAGAGCACCAGCTGCTTCTCACTCTCCTGGACTTTGGGGGCAGCAGGTCCCCGGGCCGCACGAATGGCATGTACTTAACTATTCATCTAGAGGTTAGCAGTTTGTACCCAATGGGCAGCAGTGCCAGAGAGTGGCCTGGAAGAACACAGCCAAGAAAACCCTGTGGAGAGTTCTACTCTGGGAGGCCTGCCACCAGGAGTCAGGCTCCTCCCCACCGCAAATGGCTTTATTTTTGTTTCTGTCACCGCTCATCACCTGCACACAAGGACTGTGTGTGGCCCTCTCTTGGGGCCCAGGGGACCTCAAGAATACATTCTCCCCTTTGGGGCATGGGCCTGCCTGCTGGTCACTGCCATTCCAACCCATCCCCATCCCTACCCTCGCCCATCACCAATATAATATCCATTCACGATTCAAATACGTCAGCTCTTTGGGTGCTGGGGAAAGGTGTGAGCAAGAACGAGAAGGTCCGTTCCAGTTCCAGGATGCACAGAGGAGAGGGAGGAGGGCAAGGTCAAGGCAAGGGGAGCATTAAAGGGGGCACAGGCTTTTCAGGCCGTGGGACCACAGGGGCATGGATTCTTCAAGTGGTGGGGACAAGTCTGGGCCATTGGCGTCACTAGGCAGAGGGCCGGGGCCAGGGCAGGGGGCGCGTGGGTGGGAGGAGAGGCGAGGCGCCCCGCCAGACAGTCGGGGCCCCCGAGGACTTTGGATTTGCGTCTCAAGGGCTTTTCAGGAAGGGCGGGACATGGCCTGCATTTTGAACAGCTCCCTGGGGCGGCTGGACAGTCCCACGCAGGAGAGCAAGCAGGGAGGCACGCAAGGAGCCCAAGTCCGCCCCCCAGGCAGGGTGGGTGCAGCGGTCCCAGAGGGAGAGTCAGGGGGTGCAAAACGAGAGAGGACCTCTATCCCGAGGTAGAGATGTGGGGGCGAGGAGCCCGGTGAGCAGCCTGGGGACGGTGGGGCTGCGCACGGTTGCCAAGGGGACAAGGGAAGGGTTGACGGCGGACCGGAAATGGCAGCGGTTGTCAGGGGGACCGCAGAGGCCCGGCGAAGGCTGACGGGAGGCCTCGGACAGTTACCGGGACGACCGGGTCCGCTGACGGTTGCCAGGAGCAACGGGAGGGCGCCGCCTCCGCGGCCGCGGGCGAAACACAAAGGGAGGGGTCTCTGGGGGAACACGGCCGGTGTGGGCAGCGCAGAGCCCTGGCGAGGGGGCTGCGACGCGGCCCACTTCCTCGAGCCCGAACCAATCCGGGCGCGCCCTTCTTTCGACCGGGGGAGGGGAGGTGTTTGGCGCGCCCATCGCCTTGGGCGGGAGTGGAGACCCCAGGGATAGGAAGGGGCCAGCCGGTTGGCACCCCTCCGAGTCTCGCGGGCTTGGCCTCTCCCCCGCTTTGCTTTGAGTTCCCGCCTCCAGACTTCCTTGGACCATTCGCCCGATCGTTTATCCGTTTTTCACTCGCTCGCTCACTCGTGCATCCATTTGTTCACGTGTCTCCGTCAACTTTGCTTTGCTGCCCGCTGGCCCCGCTCCAGGGGAGGCGCGGACAGGGCGGGGCTGGGCATGACATACAGCCTTCCAGCCCCCAGCGGTCCCGCCTAGGGGGACTGGGACACTGGAAGGGAGAGAAGGCCGTTACCTGAGCACCACCTGGAAGACAGCCTGCAGGAGGCAGTCTTGGAGCCGAGCCTGGCTGCCAGAAGGGGCTCCAATCCACAGGACGCCCAGTGCAGCGACGGTCTGGGTGGAGCATCTCCGTGACCCAGAGAGGAGGCGTGGGGTGGGAGTGAGCGGAAGCCGTGGGATCTGGATCCTCCTCCGAGTGCTGGGGTGCGGGCTAGCGAGCCTCCGGGGGTCCAGACCCCGATGGAGGACAGGCGGGTGAGAGGGCGGGGCCGGAGGAGGGAGACGAAGGGAGAGGCCTCCGAGGAGGCTGGGCGTGGTCCAGGCAGTGCGGTGGGGCGGCGGTGGGGGTGGGGTGAGTACCGGAGCCGGGTATTTGGAAAGGGACGGAAGGCAGGCATAGGACTAAGTCCGAAGGCTCTGGGCAGGACACCAGAAGCGTTTTGAAAGCTGCGTGTAAGCTCTTGTGAACCTCCGTAGGACAGAGTGGAAGGGCCCTCTGCGGCGTCCCAGGCTGTAATCTTTACGGGAGCACATGCCCATAAGGTCAGGTTAGCCGCTGAGAGCGCCACCAGGCCTCCTGTGACCACCACGTGACCGAGCAATCCTGTCCTCCCGCGTGTCTACCCTGCAGGGAAGGCAGCAATGCCAACGGAAACCTGCGCAGCAATATTCATGACAGCGCTGTCCACAAGAGCCCAAAGATGGAAATAACCCAAATGTCCGTCAACAGATGAATGCGTAAACACAATGCAGCCTGCACACACAATAGAACGCTGCTCAGCCGTACAGAGAATGACGTCCCCGTGCATGCCACCACAGGGACAAAGCTGGGGCACGCCACGCAAAGTGAAAAGAGTCCGTCACAAAAGGACAAATACCGTATGAGCTCACTTGTATGAAATAAGCAAATAAATAGAATCCCAAGATTATGAGTGGCTACCAGGGAGGGAGGCGAGGCGGGGAGCTTAAACAGACAGAAACAAAACAGTCTGACTCGTGTGACCCCGTGTGTGCATGTGCGTGCGTGCGTGTGCAGAACAGAACTGGACCAAAGGATTCTCGAGGTGGTGACCTTTCAGAAGCAGATCACCAGGTCTTTCTTCTGTGGTGCCTCTGGAGGGGTTCGAACCACCAACCTTTGGGTTTTAGTTGAGTGTGTAACCACGTGCACCGCCCAAGGACCCTACAGAGTTACTGCTCATGACGGTGACCTTATTCAGAAAAGGCTTGGGAGAATGTGCAACAGGGCTTGACAGATGTCATCCGTGCCACTGAAATTGTCCACGTATGAACTCTTGCCTTGTTCTGTATATTTGCACCACAAGAAAAAGAAGTCTATATAAAAGACGGCAGTGTGAGCTTCAGTGGGGCAGTGGGGGAGGTGAGGTAGAAGGAGCTGAAACAAAGAGAGGGTAAAGTTCCACACCCCACCCTGCCCCCACTCCACCCCCCCCACATTTCAGGGACTCGCAGAGACGGGGGAGGAGAGCCAGACAAGCGTGGAGCCCCAGCTGTGGAGGAGGGAGGCTTACCCTCCTGGAAGAAGGCAGGCAGGCAGGCAGTGGTGTTGAAAGCTACTAAGAGCTCACGTGTCGGGGGAAGCGTGGACTCTCAGATCCTGGCAACCCGGGAGCCCACGGGATGGGGGCGGACAGAAGACTGGGAGATTGGGAGTGTGCACTCAGCAGGCTTGGAGGAGAGACCACAGGCAGGAACCTGGGGGGCATACATGATCTGATCAAACGGGGTAATCCGGGGAAGGTGTGCTACAGAAGGAGTGCAGACGGTTCAAGTGCTTTGGCTGCTGATAGGAAGGTGAGAGGTTTAAGTCTTCTCAGCAGGACCTGGGAAGAAAGGCCTGGCGATCTACGAGTCCCGGAAAAGGCAGCCATGGAAAACCCTATGCTTGAAAACAAACAAACAAACATTTCCTTGAAATGTATAAACATAACACGAAGACTGCAGCGCGGGAAAGAAAGAGCGCTGGAGCACAAGCAGACTCTGACATGCGTGCGTGTGTGCGTGGGTGGTGATGAGTCAGAGGTCACGCTGCAGCAGGGGTTCTCCACCTTCCTCAGCCCACGACCCTTTCATACAGTTCCTCATGTGGGGGTGACCCCCCAACCATACGTTATTTTCATTGCTACTTCATCACTGTCATTTTGCTACTGTTATGAATCGTCATGTAAATATCGGATAGGCAGGATGTATTTTCATTGATACAAATTGAACATCATGAAAGCATAGTGATACATCGCAAAAACAATATGTAATTCTGTATTGTGAAATATGTATTTCTAATGACCACTAAATGAAATTTTGTCTTGAAACATGGTTTAGCAGGGGTAACAGTCTTAATATAACAATAGTAAACTACATTGCTACATTTTGCAACAGTATGCATAAAAAGCCAACGTCTCTCGGCTCCTAAGACCATCGGAAATACGTGTTTTCTGATGGTCTTAGGCGACCCCTGTGAAGGGTCGTTTGACCCCCAAAGGGGTCGCGACCCACAGATTGAGAACTGATGTTCTACAGCAACCAGTGGGGGCTGAGGATGCTACAGGGACACTATAACATTTGGGGGAAACAGAAAGCTGGGACACGCAGCCTCTGAGGAGCCCTGGGGCACAAGCGATGACCAAGCTTGGATACTTAGAGAAAGGTTGGAGATTTGAATCGACCCAGAGGCTATGCAAAAGAAAGAGGGGACAATCGATCAGCTCTCCCCAAATCTGCCCTTTGAAAGGCCCAGGAGCACATGGACAGCCTGGCACAGACAGGCTACCAGGAGTTGGCATGGACTCAACTGCAAGTGGGTTGATAGGTGCACACAGCTGGCAAGGGAAGGAAGGCGGGTGGCAGAGCCCATGGAGGCCCCGCCCCCCAACGCAGAAGGCCTTGGGTCAGTTGAGGAGGGGCTCTGCCGGCCCACAAGGCGGAGTGGGAGGGGGTCCAAGAGAATGAAGGTCTATTCGCCCCTCCTCCTCACCTCCTGCCAGCACCTCTTATTGGCCAGACCCACCTGGAGCCGGAGGACAAGGATGCGCATTGATGCCCAGTCCAGTCAGTAGAGGTCAGCCTCCAGGGCACAGCCTGGCGGAGAAGGGGGAGGAGGCGCTGGAGGGGAGAAGAGGCACTGGAGGGAAAGAGGTCAGGAGCAAGGGCGGTGGGCTGGGAGCTAGTGGGGGAGGGGCTGGGAGTTGTGTGTGGGGCTGTGGAGCTCCTGGCCTCCTGGTAGGCACCTCTCTGATTGAATGGGCTAAAACCCCAAACCATCTAGTCAATTCTGACGCCTGCGGACCCCACAGGGCCCAGCAGAACTACTTCATGGGGTTTTCTCAGCTGTAACGGTCCTGGTCCTGGAAGGTGGCCAGGTGGCAGAGCTGGTTACGTGTTGGGCTGCTAATGGAAGGTCTATGGTGTGGCCACTTGGTGGAGCGAAATAAAGCGGCTCTTTTACGCTGCCCTCTAGGCGCACCATGCGTGAGATTGACTGGGTGCCCTGAGTTTGTTTAGGTCTCTATGGCAGGGGGTTGCCCGGCCTTTCTTCTGGGATGCAGCTGGCTGTGTTCAAATGGCCAAACTGTACGTTTGTGGGTGTAGCAATTACATCATCTCCTGTCAACTTGAGCGAAGGGGTGGAGTCTAGCCCGTCAATCAGGTCATAGCCAATGAGGCCTCAGTGTGTGCACAGCCTTCTGAGGATTCTGGGAACTCCTGTCTTCCTCCCTGGAGGTGGGATGCACCCTCTGCTACACATTCCTGTTGTTAAACAACAT